GCAGTCTCAATTAATCCTCTGTTGTCCCACTTTTTCAGCTGCTTTTAACTTGCTAGATTGTTCAATACATTCTTACCATTTTAAATCATTTTCATTGTTTACAGCGTTTTAAATTGGTTGAGCTGATTTTGTTGTATGTTGCCCTGACAGAGTATAAATGAATAAATAAATTTAAATACCAATATCCAGTTAACTTCAGTGTTATAAACATTGCCATTTCAACATAAGTATAATAAATGTATTTTTAAAAAAATAGTAATAAACAGGATATGAATAACTTTTGCAGATAATTTTCTCATCTCTGGAACCAGCAGTCCAAATACCAGGCTGTCATACTTCTCCAGGAGTCACTCTGCTTTTCAAAATCAAGCATGTATTTCAGCACAGAATAATGCAATCCATGGTAGTCCATAGGGCAAACAGGTACTGACACATGAACAAGGAGATTTTCACATATGGATATATACTGGCTTACATGAGCTGTCTTAAAGTTAGAAGCGGGCGGCATCCTGATATTATCAGATGCATTTAGCCACCAAATACGCTGCTAGGTGCAGCCCAGGTCCATCGCCGCTCGAAGGGGCGCTCCTCGTGCCTCTTCAAAGCCAGGAATTTTCCAGCTTGAAAAAATGGCCTCCAGAGTGGCAGTGGACTCTGAGTGGCAGTGGACCTGGGCTGCACCCGGGCAATGATTTTGGTGGCTAAATGCACCTGATAAAATCAGGATGCTGCCCGCTTCTAATTTTAAACTGGCTCAGGTAAGCCAGTTTATATCCTTATGTGATTATCTTCCAATAAAAGCAGTTCAGTGCACATGGTTGATTTCCCACATCCACAATAAAAAAGGCAGTAAAGACGGATCTTTTCCGGCAGGCCTTCCCGGAACATCTCCCTGATCAATAAATGGTGACTCTGGCTTTATCCTTGACCACCATGACGTGTCCCCCTGTCAATTTTTGTTTTGTTTTGTTTTAACTGCTATATTCACGTTTTAATTCTAAATTAGTTTAATTCTGTTTTATGGGGGGGAGGGCTAGGGTTAGGGTTGTGATTTTAACTTGTTCTTTTTAATTGATGTACTTCGATTGCTATGCAGAGAGGTGGGATATAAATAAAAATTATTATTATTATTATCATCATCATCATCATCATCATCATCATCCTTGGAGAATATCCATCTGCCCAGTTGTGCTCACTCAATCCCGCTTCCTTCTCCATCTCTCCCTTCTCCAAACAAATGCTCCAAATCACATGCCTGCAACAATGGACTCAGTAATCTAGAGAAACATCCCTATCTCCCCTAAAACCTGTCTCACACCAGCACAGACAGTCCAAGTATGTGCCCTGTGCCATTGTTTGGAGCAGCCAGATGTGTAAGGCACCCTATGCCATGCTTACCCTGATTCTCTCTTTCTGACAACAGCATCAGTCTCTTTCAATTGAACAGAATAGACTAAGGAAGAAGTGGCAAGCTAACCTTTTAATTTTTTAACAAACACTAGGCTGAGTGGCTATCATGGCTCCTTTTTGCTATGTGTCTCCCTCCCTCCTTCTTTTTGGCACCTCTGCTATACAATATGTCCAAACTTTGAGAAATTGTGCAGAATATAAAACTCGTTTAAGGACATGTTTAACCTAACTGACCTACAAAGAGCTTACTGAATTTCCATTTAAGACTGTAATACATTGCAGAAAGGTCCTTCATTTTGCCTGGGTAAATAAGGCTTTCTGGAACTCCATGGAACCGTGTGTTATAGGCAAGATAAGGCTGCTGCCACACTGCAAAGTTAAAACAGTTTAACTTTAACTGTCATGGCTCCATCCTGGGAAATCCTGGGATTTGTAGTTTGTTGTGACACCAGAGCACACTGATAGAGAAGGCTAAATATCAAACAAAACTACAAACCCTACAATTCTGTAGCATTGAGCATGACAGTTGAAGTGGTGTCAAAACAGCATTCTGCAGTGTAGATGAAGCCAAAATAATCACCAAGTTTGAATGAGCAAAGATTTTATTTTATTTTATTTTATTTCACTCTGTATTTTGCTTGTTGTTGTGTGCCTTGCCCAAGGTCACCCAGTGGGTTTCCATGGCAGAGCAAGGATTTGAACGGTGGCCTCTAGAAACATAGTCCAACACTCAAACCACTAAGCCATACTGTAGATATAAAAGAAACCAGCACTCTAGGTTAAGGATGCTGAATTGTTATGCATGAAAGGTGCAAATCCTCCCATGTTGTGTTCAAGGGTAAGTGTTATGCTCCTCTTCCAGTAATTAAGTCTAATTGCTGCTTTGAATTCCAGCAAGAAATATGTTGGCAAGATTTTGCTGCTCTCCACTGCTTTTGAAAAAGTCTCCTAAAGTATGTCAAAATATTTCATTCATTTAACAGGGAATAGGATTTGTGCCAATCTTATCAAAGAAGACATTTAGCTGGACAGCTTCTTATTCTTTTTATTTCTTCTATGGAAAAGTATTGTGTTCTGATTCATCACTGACTGTGTCTGATTATTCTGTTGAGGGGTATCCAGAGAGGATCTATATTTTGTTGCACTGCAGCTCTCTTCAGCCCTTACTGGCCTGGGCAAGGGAGAAGGATGATGAGAATTTTAGGTTTTTTAGCCCAGGACCACAGGTTTCTTGCTCCTGATTTATTCCTCTCAATTTTCACAGAGCATGGTATAGTGGTTAAAACATTAGACTATAGCCTCGTTCTCACTATGATTTAAAGCAAATTGCTGATTGGGTTACGTGACCATCGTTCCCACTCGAAACCGGTTCCAATACTATTGAACTCGGTTTCCATTGCGATGAAGAGAAGCAAATGCAAAAAACCCACTGTTTCCTGACACTAGTTTTTTGGCGATTCTTTTGAAAAGAATCAATTCCAAAGCATGTTCAACAAGTGGGAAGGATGGATCTGAATCGGATCATACTGGAGGGAAGGGACTAATGGCAGAGGGGTGTTTATCATCCCTTCTCACTTTTTGGGAAATCATCAATTTTTCCCTCCTCTCAGTGCTGCCTTTATGCCTGTGGTGTGACCTATAGGCACATGGTATATGTGTGTATATATATTGACAGAATATGTGATCCATTGTATTTGTAACTACTTGCAATTACGGGCAGAGTGCAGCTCAGTGAGGCAAGTAGTTGCAAAACCAATGGATCACATATCCTGTCTATACAGTTCCTAAGCCAAGCAGCTCAAAGGGGAAATGGTGTGCTTGAGAGCCTGGGTTGCTGAGGGGCAGAGGAAGGCTCAGTTGCTAATGTTGCCCCACTTGGCACCTGGAATGGCCTCGTCCTCACCGTGTTGCCACTTGCATCACCGGTGACACGCAGATGATTGATATGCATTTTGAAGTGGTGGAAACTAGTGGGAACAACAGTCGTACCAAAAAAGAAGTGATTACAAGGGAATAATGAAAAGATCCGCTTTCATAGTGGGAACAACGGACCTTTTGGAATTAAGATTTCATTTCTGACAATTTCTTTGGATCATTAAAAAGTTAAAGTTTGCAGGGGTTTGGAAGAGAAACTCTTGACAATCCTACTTGATTTTAACATGGGTTTCCAATAGACAATGGAATGAGAAGGTGATGCATGTCAGAGGACCTCTATGCCTTTAATATACACAGTGATCCCATGTCATAGGTTCATCAATCAGGACTATTTCTGATTTTCCAATTTCTTTACAGCTCTCTCTACAGTGATACATAGCTGAATGAATATACAATCAGAAGCAGTACTCAGAAGCATCTAGATCTACCATGAATGCAAGCTTTATGTAGTATTGTTTTGAAGTAGGAATGATTCATTAAAATTCATTTGTATTTTCTTTTTGAGTTAAAATCAAAATGGAAATAAGCAAAGCATGAATCACTATCATGGGGGGGGAAATAAAAGGCCTTTGCAGACTGCCAGAAATAGTGCAATTTGAGTCCACTTTAACTGCCCTGACTCAGTGCTAGGGAATCATGGGAACTGTAATTTATTGTGGCACCAGAGCTCTCTGACAGAGAAGGCTCAATGTCTCAGAAAAAAATACAGTTCCCATGATTCCCTAGCACTGAGCCAGGGCAGTGCCTCAATTTAATGTGCACTATTTCTGGCAGTCTGCAAAGGTCCTAAGTCTTGTTTCTTGAATTTTGAGTGGACCAACAGGAAGTACATCTTTAAAAGAAATTAAATTAAATATTTCCTTTCCCCTTCCCTTGATATCCAACATATATTTTGTAAAGCACCTGTTGGAGAATGCTATGTGAATTTTAATTCATTTACATTAACAAAATTAGTTGCAGCTCCCTGTGAAAAACAAACAGAAATAAGCAACATTGTATGAACTGAGATTTTGATAAAGAACCATGTGAAATTAGTTGGCTGTTTAGCCCTGTATCTCAATTAAATAATAATTTAAATAATTTAATTATGGAATTATATTAATTCTGGTATTCCAACTTAAACATTCATTTCAGTAAAAATATATATTTAATACAATTGTCCCCTTTTGTTAGAGGATTACATTTGATAGCTTTATTAATTTTAACTAGTTAGTTCCTGTCTCAAGTGGAGTTTCAAGTGACTTTCATCTCAAGTGACTTTCTTCAGTAAATCTAGTTCCACTCTGTGCTAATATGTGACTTTATTGCATGTTGTTTAAAATTGAAGCTAGCCTCCCAGGCTGCAGCCAGGAGGCGGGATGGAGGCAGGGATTATCACATGCTAAATCACCGCCAAATCGCCGGCTGCCATCAACCTGGGTCCTAGCCGGGCTCAATCAGCGCTTTTTAGAAGCTGGAAAGCATTCCAGTTTCTAAAAAGTGCTGGCTGAGCCTGGCTGGGACCCGGGCTGATGGCAGCTGGCGATTCAGTGCCAATTTAACTTGTGATAATCCCCGATGCCAACCTGCCTCCCAGCTGCAGCCCAGGATGTTTGATTCAATTTAAAATGACAGTTGATGGTTTCCTCATAACTAACTTTGTGATGCTGTTGTTAAGTCTACAATTAAAAAAAATAAGTTCTCTATTTTAAAGTATGCTTTTATACTCCATTACCAATGTAGCTTTACCATTAGGTTAAAACTCTCTC